CGCCATCTCTCCCAGATTTTTGAAAACCCCCCCCCCCCCGTCTCTTTAAAAAGATCAATGCTGTTTCACCATCAGCAGTTCAGGAGCCAAGAAACACAAGCTGTAAGTCCGATGCTCTGTGCTACTGCCGTGTTGTATTTGCACATAAATGACTGAAGAAAGAAAACCTCATCGATTGACCCATAACATGGTAGAAAAAGGCAGAACACAGGACAGTGTCAGAGCTACATCAATGGGATCTCTGCCACCAAACTGCAAGGGGATCAGAGCAGCAATTTGACCCACTTCAAAAAAAAAATTAGATTTGCAATATAGAAGCTTGCCGAGATTTGCAATAAAGTCACCCAAAAAGCAATAGTACCCATAGCAACCATTAAGATTTTACTTTAAGGCCTCATTCACACGAGAAAAGACCGCCACGTACAGCGCCGTGCTGCGTGCACGGCCGTATCGGGCAGCTCCCGGGAAGGACAGGTGCTGTGTGTGATTAGTACGCAGCCCCCGTCCTTCTCCATGGAAGTACGCGGCCGTACGCCCCCCTACGCTCCCCTCAAGTGCAGGTCCATACGGGTGCGGGTGTCCTGGCTGGGACGCAGACAGGATGGATCCCGTCAGCGTATGAGTACGGACACCCGCACGGATGTGCAGGGCGGGTGAGCGTAGGGCGGCGTACGGCCGCGCTGTCCCATAAAGAAGGACGGGGCTGCGTACTAATCACACGCAGCACCTGTCATTGCCGGGAGCTGCTCGGTACAGCCGCGCACGCAGCACGGAGCTGAACGTGCCCGGCCTTTTCTCGTGTGAATGAGCCCTAATGTAGGCTGAACAGTGAAATAATTTCTGAATGGTTGCTGTTACCGCACCAGTCATTGCTGACCTATTGCGGTTTGCGATCATTTGAATATATCTTCAGATCGTTTCCACCCATCGCCCTCTCACAAAAGGAAAACACAGGAACACAATTTAAAATGAAATGTATAAGATGATGAATGTGACTTGTGTTCTGTGACCGTCTAGTGCCGATATAACTAATACTACAGAGTCATTCCTTCTTACTAAAACACAGATATAAAAATATAAAATCTTTGTTCCAAACTAATCTGAGACTTGATGCAGCCGTGTCCCTACAAACCCATCAATGCAAAGTGTAATGCTAACGGACCATCAAACCTGACAACTTCCGCTCATGTAAAAGAATGACACCATTCACAAGCGGGTGTTCGCGTTTTCACATCAGCACGACTGACGGAGGTTTCTGGACTTCATAGTATTTAAAGTGGAACTTTAAAGTGAATATTCAAAATGTGTGAACAGACTGGTGAATATTCTTGCAGATGGGGTGGATTTATAAAAACAAAAATGTGCAGAGCCATTCGTCCTGTGAAATTCCATTCCGATCTGTGCAAATAGGGCAAAAACAAATGTTATCAGTAACTTTTCCTCCCAGGTCAAATGTAATACACTCATAGGAATGAATAAAAAAATACTCCAATATGGACACTACATGGAGCATAGGAAATAAATATTTAAAGCGGACCTTTACTTCCTCACCTCAACATACAAGCTGCTGTTATGAAATCATCTGACATTCTGTAGTTAAAAACATATTTTTCTTTTACTTGCAATCATTGTTTTTCCACTTCCTGGTCCTCTTGGGCATTAGTGATGTAAGCTGTTCACAAGCATTGCATCCTGGGAAGGTTACATCAGCAGAGGATTCCTGGGAAATCTCATGAGATGTCAAGGGAAAGGCATTTTGCTCCCCTGAGATGATGTGCATGGTCACATGTCCTAGTCACATGTGCCAGAATTAAAGGAAGTAAAGGGAGGTGAATTCATCCGCCTTTAGTAAAAATGGCGCTGTGAGAATAGCGAAGAAAAGTAAGGTATGCAAAGAATAAAAAGTTGGCGACTATCTAGACCAGGGGCCTCAAAGTACCGGCCCGCAGCCAGCTGACAAGTCGGGCACACGGTCACGAACCGCGTGCCAGACTTGCGGGAGCAGCTGCACGGTCTGCATCTCTGTCGGATGCAGACCGCAGAGCTGCTCCTGTCAGCTCCGGCCGGAGCTCTCTCAATTCTGAGCTCCAGCCGAATCATGGATGATTAGCAGACCTTACTAATCACCACTAGATCACCAGGGAACGATGATGTGCCTCCTCCCTGCACAGATACAAGCAGGTGAGGGGTCTTGGAAGGAAAGGAGGGAGTGTATTATAAGTGTTCAGGGGGCTTGGGAGGGAGGGGGGAAGTTTATGTGTTAGCTGTCACCCGATCATTAATTTGAATGGGTGACAGTTGCCGCTTGTAACATGTGCATACATTAAAACTGGTACCATATATAGTAGCAGCCCCCACGGGACTAAAAAATCTGTCCAGTGGCCCCCGACTAATTTGTTGTCATTTCAAAGATCTGGGTAAGGTTCCTCTAATTCCTATGACCCTCAACTCCATCTAGTGGCCATAAAGTGGTATTTTCCTGATTCAATCTATGAATGAATTGCATTCGACCTCGAAAGAAAATTATACTAAAAACATTATTTTTTCCCCCCATTCGCACAGAAAATGTACAGGATGAATTATTTTTATAAATATAGCCCATGGTCTTCTTACAATCTCAGCATCTGGCGGGATTAATGAATGCCAGCACATATGCGCCAGTTATCCAAGCATGGCTGAAGATCCTGAACCCAGGATTAAGTTATCAGCAAAGGAGCTTGGGGATGTTGCATCATTGGAGAGGAGGAGAGTGCAGTCCCGATTGAGACCCACTACTACCACCACCAGGGTCTGCCGGTGGGGATGATTGATAAACTCTAGGGAAGAGATCAGGTGTGAATGAACAGGAAGGCAGATGTCCACAGCAATATATCTCCCCCTTGAGACAGGAAATTCATCTCAACCGATTCATTAAACATTTTTTTTTATATTCTTGTAAAAACTGTTTCCTCCTTTTGTATAAACCAAGCTGTGATTCAGGTCTAATGGTCCTTAAAAAAAATACATTAAAACCCGACGAATCTTTCAGTTTAAATCAGCAAAATACATTTGAGTGCATCAAAACAAACGATGTGCAAAGCCTTACAGTCTGTTTTTATTACAAAGCAGACAAAAGCAGAGTAGAGCAGCCTATTCCTTACTAACATGCTGTAAGGATGGACCCTTGCTCTCTGCGGGAAAGCAGAGGTCCCTCTGCAGAGGTCTGACACACCAATCAGCAGGGAGCATGAGCTTGACCACGGCTTCCATTTAAAGAGCAAGGGTCCTTCCCTGGGGCATGCTGGCAGGGAACAGGCTTTTCTACTCAGGCTGTTGCTGCTTTCTAAAAGAAAAACTGTAAGACTGCAGATATCTTATGGAACGTATTGAGCCGATTTAAACAAAGCGCTCAATTGGGCTTTAATATAACAAACTGTAAAGCTTTTTTTTTAAACTGGTCTTCCAAGTGGGCTTTTGTTCTCACCGATATTACCCATATCTGAGTGAATATTTAAAAAAAAAAAAATTATTTAAATGAACACAATCTAACATGCAACATAAAGTGCGATGCCCTCCCGTGTGCACTGCTGCCATTTTGTAAAAATGCAGACTTTTCACTACTGAACTCCTACCGGGTCATCCTAAAAACATGTTCCTCTCTCAGCTACACGATACAAGAAGAGCCAAGTGTGTGAAGAAAGAAATTGGTGAAATAACGAGTGTAAAATACATACAATCTATTATAATTGGCTTTGCGGCATTGTACAATGAACGTACATCTTGACTACTGCAAGCGTCATCAAGAGGGGGGCCAGACCTCTCACGTAGGCTAGCCCGGAACGATGAAAGTTTTCAGTCTTCCAAGACTTGCGTCTGTACAAATAGACGTTTTGATCTCCAAGGTATCGGACAGACGAGTCTCAGATTCGTGGTCAGGCGAGTGGCGTCGTTCAGGATGTTTTATAGTGCAAGAATTTGGGCAGTTGGAACAGACTAGCAGGTCGGGAAAGCTGTAGAGATCCAGTCCGGGAAAGGCATGAACGAGTGGCTGGTTGGAGGTGCAGCGTGTGGTGTTTTCTTGACTGCTGGGTGGTTTTGGTTTAGAGCAGTAGGGGCAGTGCTGGCCGGGGGGTGGTAACTCTTCCCCTTCGGTGCCGCCCGGGTCCTTGTAGGTAAGCGCGGTCAGCACCGAGCCCCAGAGATACAGTGCAGTGGCTGTGACGCTTGACTTTCTCTCGGTGCACTCCTCCTCCAGGGAGCATGGAAGAACGGTGGTAGGAGTAGCAGGGATTTCTTCAAGTGGAGCTGGAAAAAACAGAGGCACCGACACGTCCGGGATGGGTCCTGTGATAGGAAGAAGCCTTGTCCCGTTAATCTCCCAGGTGGCCTTGTGCAGGACGGCAACTGAAGCAAATAAAGTGGCAACTCCGGTTAAGTAGACCAGGCCAAGGATACAAGCCACCTGGAGAGGGGGAAAACAAATTGGTGACTTTAGACTAAATAGTGCCATTCTCTTAAATATCTGAAATTAACCCATTTGAGAGATTTATAACACACATATACACACACACATTTTACTGTGCTGTCCCTTAGAGACAACATACTGGTTACGTTTATGTTACTTTTTGGAAGTTTAAGCCCCAATAAATAGTTGCTGATCCCACCAGTCCCCTCGAGTATGATATGCTTCCTGACCACACAAAGCACAAAAGCAGATCCATTCTAGAATGGCCAGTTTGCGCCCCTGCTCCCTTTAATGGGATCTACAGGATGCCATGTGAAATGTCATCCCCACTCAGCTTGACTGACAACAGCCGATCTTCTTTGGAATCTCTTCCCCCAGCTCTCGGAGCTCAAGATATAGCAGTCATGTGATTGCAAAAGAAGAAGAAAAAAAAAAAGGAAGTATTGGAAGAGTAAAATGCATCCATACCCATAGTTAGAGGCGACGTGTGACACGGCAGCTGTCACATGTCGGCTCTAAAGCTCGAGAACTGAGCGATCACAAATGGCTGATCTTTCACTTTCTTTTTCCTGCAGAGAGGTTTTGTCTTTAGCATCATTGCCCTGCTGGAAAGAGCAACCTCCAACCCCACTTTCAGGTCTCTTACAGACTGAAAACATTTCCTGTAAAAACCATCCCACTTCTAATGCTATTCATTCCTCACCTTGGTGACTTGCTGGCAGACATCATTGAAAACTTTCTGCCACAGTTCCTGTTCCAGGAGCACCGACAGGTCTGTGTAAGTGAACCAGCCCCGCTTCATACCTTGCTGCTCTGCAACACTGGGATGGTGAAACAAAGAACCCGATTACACTTCCACATTATAACATCTTGATTTCATAAACCAGGGGTAGCCATACTCCGGCCCTCCAGCTGTGGTGGAACTACAAATCCCTTGAGGCATTGCAAGATTCTCACAGCCACAGACATGACTCCCAGAGAGAGATGCATCATGGGATTTGTAGTTTCACCACAGCTGGAGGGCCGAAGTTTGGCTACCCCTGTCATAAACACTTGCAAAGCAGACATGTGCACTGGCAAAAAATGTGTTTCGTTTTGATTCGGATTTTGTGTTATCTCGTTTTTCAGGATTCGGGTGTTAGTCAATTTGGATTCGGAATTCGGTCGAAATTCGTTTCGTTTATTCGTTGCAGCATAGTGACATTTGAGGGGGAAAAAATGTTTTTCTCCTTCTCTAATGTCACTTTGCTGCATCGAACGAATGAACGAAGAAATGAAAACGAAACGAATGTTCGAACGAACTACCGCTAATGAATTTCGGAAACGGAAATTTGGATTCCTTTGCATTCGTTATATCTGTAATTCGGACATATCCGAATGTCTGAATTTAGTTTCGGAGCGAAACGAATCGCACATGTCTATTGCAAAGTAAGAAAAATATGAGAACAAACATTCAGGTCTTTACTCACAGTCCAGTATGGCTCCACCATTGTACTTGTTATGCAGTCAGGCTGCATTATACAGGTGAAACTCGAATTATTAGAATATCGTGCAAAAGTAATTGCAGTAATTGCTGCAAAAGGGGCCCAAACCAAGTACTGAGTACATATGCATGCTTGTACTTTTCAGAGGTCCGATATTGTTCTATGTACAATCCTTGTTTTATTGATTGCATGTAATAATCTACTTTTTTGAGGTTGTGGATTTGGGGTTCTTGGGGTTTTCATGAGCAGTAAGCCATAATCATCACAATGATGACAAATCAGGGCTTGAATTATCTTGCTTTGCATGTAATGAGTCTCTCTCATATATTAGTTTCACCTTTTAAGTTGCATTAGTGAAATAAATGAACTTTGCACGATATTCTAATTATTCGAGTTTGACCTGTAAGAATATGGCATTTTTAACCTGAATATGATACCTTCCACAGCTTAGGAGTCTGCAGCCCCCAGTGGCCAGCAGGGATGTGTTCATTAATATACTAGAGAAGAGCAATACAATGGCTGACACAAGCTCTAAAGATCATGCCAGAGGAAACTAATAGCTGTGAGAGGCAAATGATAGTATGGAACAGTAGGGGCGAGGATTGATAATGATTGACATCGTTCAGACAAGAAATGAAAATGGGCTCTCGACAGCTGCTGCAGCTTCAAAGGCGTTATATAGTGGGGATGCCAGTTTGCAGGGAATTGAGAGTAATCAGGTTCAACACAGCAGATGACCTACTACAAGTGTGTGGGGGGAAAAAGGGTAAGGCTGGAGTTGTGTTAATGATTACCATGTCAGGTCTTTAGTACTCTAAAGGCTTTCCGGTGTCGGCCATACACTGGACAGTCAAAGCTCCCTCAGCGGTGCTGACTGGAGCACTGTGCTGGGGACATCAGAAAGAGAAAGAACCTGCAGAGAGAAGGCCTCCCCAGAATCACTTTCACTGAGCCCATG